TTGTATCCTTCTGTTCCAGGGTGATGTCTTTTTCTACTATGGCCTCAAAAACTTTCACCAGAACCTCCGCAGATACATGGACTCCAGAGATGATGGACAGATGGTTGGCAGGAAGAGAAACTTAAAGGTAGCTCCACAATATTTTGTATTCATTTATCACAATAACACATAACACGTTTTACACCGACATAAAATACTGCAACAAATGCCCCCTTTTGTCCCTAGATAGCTGGTTAGAAACTGAAATGGTACACTGCTTTGTTCGCCTTTTGATGGAGTGGTGGACAAAATATCAGGTGTTTTAAGTTAAAGTAGTAGCAGTAGTGTAAAAATGCTCAGTCATGCATTCAAAATCTCAAATAAAAGTACAGCAAAGTGTACTTAAAGTATCAAAAGTAAAAGTAATATTTATGCGGCAGAATGGCCTCTCAATGGTAAATTATTGCATAATATTGTTGACTTATTGGTGAAAACTTCATATACTGTTGGGTAGTATAATGAAAAATCCTATTTTGTAAACGTATGTGTTTTGCATGTAAAACCTGAATCTCCAAAGTAACCATTAACTACAGCTGTCACATTAATGTAAAGTAAAAAGCAAAATGTTTTCCTCTGAAATGTGAAAGAAAACCGTTATATCTAAATATAAATATATATATAAATATAAAAAATATGCAAGTACCTTAAAATGTACTTAAGTACAGTATTTGATTAAATAGTACACCACTGCTTTGACGTTTATTTTGCATGGTTCAATAATCTTGAGTTTCTCCATTAATCTTGTTCTCCTGACCAGAACCCAAGTTCATACTGCAGTCCGTTCACAAAAGACCAGAATGGACTCCCCATCGCCCCCTGTGGAGCTGTCGCCAACAGTATCTTCAATGGTAAGCGCCATTCATAACGCACATCATCGCTCATGACATCCAACCTCCACCTTCCTCTCACTGGCCTCTTAACTCACATCCATTCTCCCAGACTCCTTCTCTCTGACGTATCATGACTCCAGGGGTTCAGTTAAAGTCCCTCTGCTGCGGGGGGGCATCACCTGGTATACGGACAAAAACGTCAAGTTCCGCAACCCAAAGACGGACAACTTGACGCTGGCTCAAGTGTTTGAAGGTAATGTCAATCAACCGTGCCATATCAGTATTTGAGTTTGTAGTCAGTCGGGTAAATTCATGGTGTCTGATTTGTGATCTCTGCATAGGCACAGCCCGGCCTCTGTACTGGCATAAGCCTGTGTACGAGCTCGATCCCCTCGACCCGACCAACAATGGCTTCATCAACGATGACCTGATCGTGTGGATGAGAGAGGCAGCCTTCCCCAACTTCAAGAAGCTCTATGGGGTTTTATACCGAGCCGACGAGCCCTTCACTAAGGGTCTGCCAGCAGGGAATTACAGCATCGGCATATCCTACAGTATCCTTTCACCGCTGTGTTTTACATGGGAACTTGGGCGTGGGTTAAAGTAGGTTGTCCCGTTGTTGTTACCTTTTTTTTAACCTGCTGTTAAACCATTAAACACAAGCATAAGCACAGAGACTATTTTAAGACTACAGGCCGGTCTTTTCCATTCAAATTCTCTCTGCAATCACCTATTTTCAGCCTTGACCTCTGTCCTTCCAGACTTCCCTGTGCAGTACTTCCGAGGCAGAAAGGAAGTGGTGCTGACCACACTGACCTGGTTTGGAGGTCAGAACCATTTCCTGCCCATTGCGTACCTAGTAACCAGCAGCCTGATCCTACTGATAGCAGTCATCCTCACGGTGTTTTGGTGGAAGTTTGGAAAGAATGGGAAGAACATGGAGCAATAAAGGGTGAAAACGTGCTTTGGGATGGTAAAAAAAAAAAAAGACAAGCAGCTGAGAAGTGGTAATTTGTTGTGCTGCTCTTAGATCATCGCCGACAAGAACATTGACGCAAGCAAATGATTAAGGAAAAGATACTCATTTGGTACAATCCCACAGCAGCATGTGTTGGGAAACCAATGAAGAATTAGGTTTGACATCTGGAAAATTACGTTCCCTATCAACTAAATGACCCACATGTGTTATGGCTTTTATTGGGATGATGTTGCTCTGAACAACCCACTGAAGGCAGGGTGTGTTAGCTCAGGCTTCAAGCTTTCTTTACATGTTGATTTTACTTGATGCATTTTTTTTTTCATACACACCATTTTGTTCATGTACTGTTAATATTTATTATAATAATTGTGTAACATCACAAAAACAGCCACTATGGTTGAATAACGAATAACTACACTGTAAAAAGTGTATAATAAAATACAGACAAACCCTGTAAAGCTGATTCTGAAGATTAAATAAAGATATAATGTACTTTTTAATTACAGCATACTTAAGGTTAGCCAGTGCAGCTAGTATTGTTCCAATGTTCATGTTCCTATATGGACCCACAGATGCTAAGAATGATGCTATTATACATTGTAAGACAGCCAAGCTCTGTGAGGCTGTATTTAGGCACAGAAGTGCTTTGAACTAAATGCTAACATACTGAGCAGCAATATTGTTCACCGGTTTAGTGTGTTAGCATGGTAACATTTGTGAGTTAGCGCTCTACACAAAGTGCAGCTAAGGCTGATGGGAAAGTCACTGGTTTGTAGGCATGCAGTCACAGATTGAAATCAGGGAATTACCAAAATGATTTAAATTCATCCCGAGGTGGACGTGAATGTGTGTAAATGTGTGAAACCATGAATGTCTGTCCAAAACTCCATCCAGCTGAGATATGTCAGTCTGGACCAGCTGACCAAAAGACTAAAATTCATCATCTTAAGAACTGATTGAGGAAAAGATGCTTTATTATCAAACTATAACTTTCTGTGCTTGAATTAGAACTGTGAAATCTGTAAATGTCAGTCAGCTACATGTATGTGCATACACAGACTGTGTAGTCTCTTATGGTTTACAATATTTTGTTGTTTGGATGACCGCTAAAGATTGTAATAAAACATTTTCCTTTTAAAACTCTTTATTTCTCTATATACAATCAGTGAGAGCCACATAAACACAATCCCTCTGTGACCAGGGAGCACCAAAACTCTGCGTAGATTGCATTGATTATTGAGCATAATCAAAGCATGATTGGTGGCACAGCTGTGTGAATAGCACCTTTCCCGGGCAACGTTGCTATTCTTTAAATGTTAGAAAGCAGCTTGTTCCATTGTTCTCCATCTGCCCTCTTGCCACAGAGCGTTAGGTCGGATTAGTACCACAGGTGGATAGGAGAGGAATGCAGTCTACCGGTGCTACAGACAATGACTGAACACACCCTACTACAATTATAACAAGCCACATCAAAACCAGTCCGAAACACACAAACACACAGGACTGAAGTATGGGAAATGGCCTACCACACATACAGGTTGTTGAAGCACATAGATACAAGGGAGGAACAGCTCAAACACCAATTTCAACGAGACAATCACCACGACGCGCAAATAATCGAAAAGTTCATGACAAACACACAGGAAACTCTACGAAATCATCAGCTGTAACAGATTTACCCATCTACCTCTTTTCTCTGTACCTTTTTGCTAAGACATCATCAGCTAACTAGGACTATAAAATCTTTTTTTTCCTACATTAAGACTGCTTTAATGTTTATTTGGTTAAACTTGTTGGCACAGTTGTGAAAGTTGGCTCTGTTGTGAATTAACATGGCATAAACAGAAAAAAAGGCAACATTTGGTCTTCGACGTTACAAAAGTATTTTCTCTTTGGGGAGTTCATTGGAATCAAATCAGCCTTTTTTAAAGTTAATAAATGCAACATCTGACAAGTTTAATGAGAGACTACTTAACTGTCAGTAATTTGTTCACAACAGTGCAACCACAATTCTTTGATCTGTAATCAGTGAGGGGTAGTGGTGGGCTATATTTTCTTTTTAATTAAAAGAGTTTCTCCTCATCAGCAGGATGTGAAAATAAAAATAAATATCAGTAAATCATCTGAGAGTTTTAACAGGTTTGCAGTAATGGAATTACTAGAACTATACACAATTTCAAGTCATGCTTTTAAACGAAGTAAGACAAAACGTACCATGGTAAACTAGAGTTTCTCTAGGAAGGAGGAATTCTTTGACCTTGGATGTGGGGTACTTGATGCGACATGCAATTCATTCAGTTCGATTTTTGAATGGAAATCATCAGGCACATCTCAGTTAAACCTGGTTCAATATGTAACAGGATAATAATGAAATAATGGAAATCACAGTTTCATAGAAGGCAAGAACTACTAAGGATCACAGAACAGGGACAAAGTCTTTATCTAGTAGTCAGCTTTCTCCTTTTCATCCATCCATCCATCTCCGCCTCTCACACCTGGCACGAACACATTCATTGTTGTGGTTTCAGTGATAGGACTGTAATGGCACTACACAAGCAGATTTTTGGCCATGCAGAAACATTTAGGCAATACAGACATCTCCGGATGAATCTAAAGCTAAGGTAGTGTTCATTCAAGACTCAGGCCCAGGCTCCAGGGCTCACAGGTTCACACCTCCTCCTCCCCAAACAACCTCCGCATCTTTGTCCATCGGGTTGCGTTGGCGGGGGGGGCAGGTTAAGGCCATGATCGGGTTGCGTTGGCGGGGGGGGGCAGGTTAAGGCCATGTGCATCCAGACTCTTCAGCTCTGTCCCGTTGGCTTCTGAGTGCTACTCTGAGGTACCTGATAGGTCAGATCCTCAGTGGGCGTGACCTGTCCAGTGGCGTTCTTGGGCGTGTCGTAAGCCGACCTCCCCGAATGGCTGCTGTCTGTCCGTGTGTGCAGGGAGGCCGGCCCAGCGCCCATGAAGCTACACACTGTGGAGGGCTGGTTCAAAGAGGAGCCCCCTGATGGGTGGCAACCCATATCGACCACAATGGGTGTAGCGTATTCAGATCCCGAAGCCGGCAGGGGCTCTGCGTAGGCGTGGTATACGTCCGGTGAGATGGGAGCGTCGTACAGGTCGGGATCTGAGTATCCTGGGTCGGGCCCCTCGTCTGGTTTAAAGGTTGACCGGGCGCCTAATGTTGTAACACCACTCACCAGGGGCTGAGCATATTCTGAAAAGAGAGCGTCACAGTGTGTTAATGACTGTCTTCTTTATTGTATTTACACTTGCTGCAAAGACTTTCGATAAGTGATGTGACATTACAAAAAGGAAATACGAAAGCAAAACCATACATAATTTACACTGACACTGCATGTTTTCACGTAATTCTATCTGCAACTGTTAGTGGCTGTAATGTCCTTTTAAAAAGGGAAGAATTGCTGCAATAAAGGAGGAGAAAAAGGGGAGCACCAGCTGGTGTAAAAAAAGCAGATTTCACAACATTCAAAGTAAAGGTTTTGCAAGGCAGGAAACGTGTTTGTTGCGCCATGAGGACACTCAAACTGTATTTCAATGACAGGCACTGAATGTAATTACATCATAAAAACTGTTTTTTTAACATTTAAAACTCCTCAGAGATCTCTCAAGAAACCCACCAAACAAGTTGCTTGCAGTGAGAAAGAACACTGTTACTTTGTCTTGGAACGGTGTTTACCTGCAGGTTCGGCATGTAGTCTGGGTACGGCACCTCTCCCAGTAAGCCGGCCCACCTCGCTGCTGCTGTACCGAACTGAGTCCTCGGTGTCCACCACCTTGGAGGGCAGCAGCTGCTTCATGCTCTTCCACCAATCTGCAGCAGAAGCACAATGAGACGCACCGTGAGTTGCACTGGCACACTCTCACTTATACACACGCAGGCCCTATCAGTCTGTGCTGCAGAGATTATGTACCTGTGCGATCCCAGTGAGGGAGATCGTATGTTCCTTCAGAGCTCTTTTTCCTACGAAGAGAGAACAATACAGTCACGTTTTCAAAGGGGATTAGTAGGGGATTAGTTTTTCCTATGCATGATAATGAGAGTACATACCTGTTCCTCCAGTGCCAGGCACAAACCACAATCAAGATGAGAACAGTCAGAACCACGACCAACACGGGAACCAGAACTGCAGCCAGCGCCACATCTGAGAGCAAAAATACTACAGTAAACACCGGATGACAAACGTCTCTATTAACTAACTTACTTTTTTTGGCTCAAAAATACACACTTTTGCCGGTGTTAGGAGGCATAGTAGTGTTTCTGATGTCTGGGGTGTGTGTGGTTTGACCGAGGTGAGGTGGGCGTCTTGTACCCGCTGGAGGTGCCGGATGATAAACGGGGGGAACCATCCTCGGCCCTGGCCTCACTGTCAAGAAAAATATGACATTTTTAGAAGAGAACATTCTGAATTGAATTGGAACTTGTGATTCTCCTTTTTACGGGACATCTGAATGAACGCCCGTCCACCTACCTGCATGAATTTGGCAGCCAAGCAGCTCCAACCTGAGCGCGATTCTCTGGTGCCATAGGGTCGGATTTATCCTCACAAACCGGGCCTCGATTGGAGGAATGAAGTTATTCCTCACCTCATGCAGGTAGTTCATGTTGCCTTGGAACACCTACCGGAAAAATTAAAACAAACGCTCTTACTTACGCCAAAGATTTAAACCCAACTACAGCCGGGGAGTAGCAGTTACGAAGAAAAAAAGTTCAACATAGCAATTTGTGTTGTGAACAAATGCATTAGAAGCCATAAGCTGATTACTTTCCAACTTGGCAAGCTAATAACTGCTCTCCTCCACACAATGAGACGCTGTGAGAATCCCAGCAGAGAGCAGCTCGTAGACAGCAGTTCCAGTCTAACAACCCAGCCAGTAAATCCATATCCATTCATTATTAATGCCCAAGTGTCCTGACTTGTCTACCACAGCACTTAACTCAAACCACTGACGGCCCTCACTTCCTGCCATAAACATATCTTAGTCAATAGCAGTTGCTATGGAAACAGTCCAAGTACATGCCCCTGCAGCCTTCTAAAGTGACATTTTTGTCCATTTGCACTAATTTAAAGGAAAACAGCCAGTGACGTTATTGTTGAGCAGGCAGAGTTTTATTGATTTGGTGGTTGTGTTACCTTGTCTTGTGTGGAATTTGCTTCCCTGTAGATGTGCCACTCCTGTCCATTGTTACTGTACAGGACCCGGTATGCTGAAACATAGTACTGGTATTCTCGTAAGGTAGATCCAGTGGTGATGATACCTAGATGAACAGACAGCAGAAGATTTGACGACCTGGGAATGAGACTCCAGAATGGCTGACCCCCATCTTTAAGCACAAAGTACAGCTGAGGCTGATGCAAATGTTGATAGTTTTGCAGGTTTTTGTTCACAAACCCCTATTTTGATCTGATGATGGTGATGAAAAGTCAGGGGATGAACTAAGTGATTACAATTCATCCTGAGGGCGGCATTAATGTCTGAACCAAAATTCACAGCAGTCCATTCAACAGCTGATCAGATATTGCACAAAAAGCCAAAAATAACCTGCTGGTGAGACAAGGGGAAAGGTCAGGGGATCAACAAAGTCCTACAGATCCATGCCGCTAACATGGCTAAATATGATCACAGGTATGGTAAATTAAAGATAGAGGTTTCGCTGTACAGTGATTTCAGCGAAGTGTGTGTGTGTGTGTGTTTGAATATGAACGTATGTAGCCGTGTACCTGTGATCCTCTTCTCCCTCTTGAGATCGACCTGCAGCCACTGCTTATGGTCGCTCTGAGAAGGGGCCCAGGGCAGACCCGCTTTTTTAAGGCGTGCCCCTGATG